CTGATACCATGTTAGAATTGTGTATCTATATTATTAAATTAAATAAATCATACAATAGGGGAAGCCTATATATATAGGCTGAGGAAACCTAGATCAGTATAAAATGAGATAGAGATAAAAGAAGATAGAGATAGAGATACAAGGAGATAGAGATGAGATATATCTACAATGCAGATAGATAAGTATAAATCTAATATACATTAACATAGAAAATTTTATGGTATGACATAAGCAATGCATGGAGCATTTTGTAATGAGATTACAAATCTCACGAAGGAGAATGTAATTTTTCAAATGTAAAGGGGATTTGTATGAAATAGAAACATTAGAGAGTATCAGTGTAATTTACGTTTTTATTTTTATTTTATTTTTTTTGGTAAGATAGGACCGAAGCCAAGAAAACAAAAGCTTAGTTCAAAAAAAAATAAAAAAACAAACAAACAAACAAAAGCTAACAAATAACTACTAGAGAGATCAAACAAACAAACTTGCTTATCTCCCATCAATCAAACTAGACAAACTCGTTTGGCAAGTGGTGATTTTAGTCAAAAAGTCACTAAAAAAATCAAAAAATCAACAACTTATACCAAAAAGTCAAAGATTTCATTTTCCTCTCTATTTATTGCACATCTTTTCATAAAAAAACCAAAAACTCATCCCAAACATTCTAGTTTTTTTTATGTCATATTTTAGCCAAAAAGTCAAAAATTACTAAAAAAGCATGTTCCCAAACGAGGCTTTATTACTGTATTTGGTTTCAATTTTCTGAATTTAATTTTTTGAAAATTGAGATTTTTGTTTTCTTCGTTTTTGTTTTTTTTTAGTGAATATTTTTAAAATTCTGAACATTTTTTTTAATACTTTTTTGGATTTATCTTACTTAGATGTATCTAAAAAATAAATTATCTTTAAAAAAATCAATAAATACACAAGAATACAAAAATGTACTGAATTTTCGTATTTTTTTAAAAAAATGTTTTTGGTATTTAGTAAATTTTTTAAAGATTTTTTTCACAAATATTTTACTTTTTAAGTGTATTTATGTTAGGTGTGTCTAAAAATTTAAAAAAAAATTACTTAAAATATTTAAAAAATTCAGTAAAAACAAAAAAAAATGAAAAACAAAAAATTTCAATTTTTTGAAAAATGAATTTCAGTGGAACCAAACAAGCTGAATGGTGTTGAAGAAACTCTTGTTGTGTAGATTGATGCGGGCATTTTTTTGCCAAATAATGTGAAGTTCACAGATCCAATAATTTCTTTCTTTCCTTCCATTTTGTTCTTCTCCTTCCGTCTCTCTTTCTTTTCCTCTCTTCTGTCTCTCCCTTTTTTAAATAAAAAAACACAAAACTTTCGATCCACCATATCAAGAGTTAGAATCTCAACTTGCTACTTTGATACGAAATATAGAGCGTGTTGAGGGCTTCGTTTTGACCGGAGCCGATCGTGTTTTCGATGCATTCAATTTTGAGACTTTTCTTCTCCTCTTTTAGTTTGAGGTTGGGATTATATTATCTTCGTATATTTCTTTTACCTTGATTGTGTGGCATTTTCTGTTAGTTATGATTCTGAAGAAATTGAGGCTTTTTTATTATATATATATATATATATGTATATATATATATATATTGTATAAAAATTAGGATTTGCTCATATTTTATCAAATGTTTAAAATTCGCTTCCCAAAATGATTTATGGTACATAAATTTCATAGTGTCATATTCAAGATTTTAAAAAGCGGCCACAACTGTTACTAACGTCGTTATGTAACGATTGTGGCGGTTATCGCTACCCGTTACGGTTGCTACAGCGGTGTGATAAAAATTCATGACCGTAATGGCCGCCACCGTTACGTAAAGGCCGTAGCGGCCGTTACATTGCCGCTACAACACCGTTACAGCCGTTACAACTTTTACACATCTATATATATATTTTAATTTAAATTTTGTATATATTGCTATTTTCTCTTTTTATTTTCTAGTTACATAAAACTTAAGTAAAAATCTTATCTATCTATGTTTTGAATGTCCAATCTTCAAGTTCTACAAGATTTCATTACTTTTTTACTTAATTATATTTGAATATGAACTTAATCTATTTCTCTTATGTTAAATTTATTGAACAAAATTTAGATTTCTTGTTACGTACTTTTGCATTATTACGTTTGACATTTTGTATTTTGAATTTTTATTTATGAGACTATTGTTTTTAAAATTCATTTTTTTTAACAAATCGGAAAAGTTATCCATAATTATAATTAGTAAAGTAAAGAAAATTAAATAAATTCAACAATAGTGAAAATTTTCATAGCATCTTAAAACTAATATAAAAATTAGTTAATATATTGGATCATGTTTTGAACTAAAAAAAAAATATATTAAAATCATTTTCGAGCTTCACTAAATTTGATTCTGAAATAAAAACGTGCGTATCGGTATGTTTTCTTAAAGTTGTGCGAAGAATTAAAAAATTCACGGCTCCGACTGTAGCCACCATTACGCTACGGCAGTTACACCTCGCAACCACGTCTGCATTACCGCTACCATTTTAGTAACCGAGACCGTTATTTAAAACCTTGGTTATATTTAAATTTGAGAAAACTTTAAAAAAAATTCAAACCCTAGAAAATTTGAGAAATGAAAAAATGTGATTTTGAATAGGATTAAATTGTTGGAATAATGTGAAAATTGGTGATTTATTATGGAGATTGTTAATTTCCTTGGAGATATTAGTTATCTTGAATTTGTTGGATTTATTGGAAATAACAGAAATTATGAAATATGGGCTATATGTTAAGAACTGATGAGTTTATTAGAATCTCATACTATTTTGGAATTATTGAGAATGTTGAGTTTTGCTCTAAATATATTTCTTATTGGAATATTTTGTTATAGATTACTGTTTCATGCATCCATTGCACTTCCACGGCCTTACATTGAGACTGTGCTATTATTTTGAAAATGTTGGGAATGTTGATCACGTGGTAAATTTGGATAGAGGATGTAATTGTGGATTTGAGAATTAAGTTGGTTTGAGGGTCGTGGTGAAAGTCCTAGAACACGAGCGGAGTAGGTATCAATTTCTTTCCAGTTAGTAGCCGTTAAAGTGATATTTGGTAGTGCTTGAGAACCTACTTGCGGACACATACCAGGAAATTTCAATGTCTTATTTACTGCCCCGATGTTTTGAAATGAATATTGTTTTGAAAGTTGTGCATTGAGCATCCTATTGAAAAAAAAAAAAAAAAAAAAAACCCTTATATTTTAAGCATAGCATATCATTGCATTCATGATCATAATCATATTAATCTCATATACATTGTTAATACTATATTCACTAGGCATTAGTGTTCATCCCTTTGTGGAAAATCATTTTTAGGTGTTGGTGATTTCCCTTTGTCTCGTTGAAGGCTCGTGATACGATTTTTGAAGCACAAATGCTCCTTTATTTTGTTTGCTTATTTTTGTAAAGCATTGGTTTATATGTTTGGGTAGAGACCCATTCTTTTTCTAATAGGGTTATAACCATTGTAACTTGTAATCTATTAAAGCATTTAAATTTTGAATAGTTACGGAGTATTGTATCACATGTTATAGATCCATGCTTTGGAAATTGTGTATGTGTAATCGTACGTAATCTCTTTTGTAAACCTCAAACTATAATGAAATAAAGTTGTTAGGTTTTATTTCTTGGCAATCCCGTTTGACAAAACTCCTTTGAGTTGTAATTTTATTCGCATTTTTATTTCAGTGAGACTTTGAGTTGTTAGATGCGAATCCAACCCGAATCAAGCATTTCAGAGAAGTTTGTGATGATAAAGCTTTCAAGATTGCCACTTCGCTGATTATGACGGGGAACGAGAAGAAGAGAAGCTTGTGTTGGTCCTTAAGGAGCATAAGAACGGCGGGGTCGAGGGGCAGCGCCCCCGAAGCAAAATGCAAAAATGCATTCAAAGTTGCCTGTGCGATCATGTTTTATTTTTCCAGATTTTCCAGTTTTGGCCTGTCCGCTCGAGCGGAGGAACAGGCGCTCGAGCGGGGATTGGAAGCTCTCAGCATCTCTGCAGTCGCCTGTAAAAATACTGGAAGGTGTGATTTGACGCTCGAGCGGATGCTCCTACGCTCGAGCGCATCTCAGTTTGTTCGCACGCAGTTTTTGGTCAGTCCGCTCGAGCGGGCTGTGTTGAGCTCGAGCGGAGATCGCGGGACAGATTCTATAAATTCGCGTGTTGGGTCAGATTTTAAGTATAACTGCTCCAGATCTTCTTTTTGGTTTCTAGGGTTTATATCTGGGGATACTTTGGGAGTTTTCTTTGATGTTTTTATTGAGTATTCAACTCATGATCTAAAGAGAGTACATCAAAGGTTTGTTTGTTATACACAAAAGAGAGAGTTATTCTTCAGTTGTGGATTCTGAAGAATTCGAGCCTGAAGCTTTGGTGGAATCCAGAGTGGCTCATCAGAAAGATTAATTTTTGAAAATACTATTGAATTGTAATTTTTCGTAAAGAAAACATAGTGGAACTGGGGTGAGTATTTGGGTTTTTTTTTTTGGTTCCAGTTCTAAACTTCTAATCTTTTAGAGTCTAATCTATTATTATTATTTTGTTTTGTTCCAGAGTTAAGGGTTTAATTCCTTTAAATCTTCTTAGTGGATTGTTTTGTGGCTGTTGCCCGTGGTTTTTTTATCACAGTTGGAGGTGTCCAATTGTGGTTTTTTTCCACGTAAAATCTTTGTGTCTCTTTGTCTTGATTGTTTGATTGTTTGATTGGGATTGTTATATTCTGCTTGAAATTGATACATAATCACAAATCAACATCTAGGGGTTTCTAGATTTTTCAAAAGTATAATAGGAAAAGAGAATTATTTTGTTTATGATTATTGTTGAATCTTGATAAGATTATTGACTTCTGCAGGTTAATTTAATTTGATTTGAAAATAGATAACGAATACAATTTTGATTTGTTTCATTGGATTTTATGAAAATTGGGGCATTACAGGTGGCCTTCAGTGCATTGAAAAGGCTAGAACTACGGGACTTGCCTGCAGTGACACATTTGTGGAAGGGTCCTACTCAACTTGTACAGCTCCGCAACCTCACTTCTCTAGAACTGAAGAGATGTGATAAACTGGAAAGCATGTTCTCATTATCCATAGCCAGAGATCTGATGCAACTACAGATACTTAATGTATCTGATTGTCGTAAGGAGGAAGTACTTATTTCGAGTGAAGAAGACGGAGATCAAAATGAGATAGCATCAATAACAACAGAAACAATAGATGAAATTGTGCTTCCTAAACTAATGGAATTATGTCTTGGAGGCCTGCCAAGTTTTATTGCTATCTGTAAGGAAATAAATGAAATTGAGCTACTGCAATTGAACAAGCTGTATCTCTGGGGGATACCAAAGCTCAATAGTTTTTGCAATACTTCGGATAGAAATTACAATACTATTCAACCTCTCTTCAATAAGGTAAGCTTCTTTGACTTAAGCTTATTTATTTATTTATTTAAGATTTCATTGCTATAAGGTGTCTATAAATTTTATTTATTATTTCGCTAATTTCATTTGACCTTTTGGGCCATAATCAGAACACAACATATTTTGGATTGAATATGTTGTTGGATGCAAAAATAAGAACGTCAAACTATACTCGAAATTAATTAGTATTTAGGAACAAATTTCTGTTATGTGTTCTATTTCTTTAGGCAAATTACATTTAATTCTTGTAGTTTGTTTTATATCAATTTGGTTCTTGTAATTTTAATTGCATCAAGTTTACATTTCAATTTTGTAACGCCCTCAAAATTACAATACAAATCAATTAACCATGAGATCCATAATCATAAATGAAACATTATATTTCATTCGTCAGAATGTTCTATACAAAAGATGGTACATATTAATCAACAAAATAGATGCCCTACGGGCTTACAACTTTTCAAGTGAACACTTGGTTACAACAAAAGAAGAGTTCTAACTCTTTACATATAAAGCCCTTGGCTTGAATTTACATTTAATGTCAAAACAAGATTAAAAAAAAAAGAGAGTCTTCAACTCCAAAACCTTCCAAGCTAAGACCTTGGAGGCGGCATGTCCCTTGTTCTTGAAAAATGATGTCCCAAATAGGTTGAGCCAAAGCCCAGTAGAGATATGCTAAACAAAATATGAGAATTAACTAAAACATTAGCATCTGATAAATGCTTAACACTAGTAAACCATTTACATCATCTCCATGACCAATCAACGTTTACATCATATTCAATTCCCTTCCCATTATTTATCCAAATCAGTTCATTGACATAGTCCAATGTTATCCAAACAACTAAGAAAATGAGGCTACAACTCATATATCAACACTTCAATAACAAACATCATTCAACACTTTTATTTTCTTGCCATTTTACGGAACTAAGTCCGAGGGAACCAGCACCCAAATATATATAAGATTTCAGGACTTTCACCCTGGACACTCCGGCCAACTTAATTATCCATGGAGTCCATCCCCTATCTCCACCCAAACAATGGAATACATCCCCTATCTCCTCCTAAACAATATACATATACAATGTATTTAAACAAATTGTCATATACAATGACCAATTCAATCACATTTTCAATGTTTATATCCGACCGTCATATTCAATGACATTCCAATTGATTAGTTTCAATTCACCTAATTAACATGCAATTTCTACAACAATCATGGCTATCCTCCACCGATAGCCCAAACAGATATATCTAAACAGATAAATAAATTTCTCAACAGATATGTCATCATATTTTCCATAGGTGAGTGATTCATTGATCCAACTACACCATGTAATCACAATTTCTCCCAATTTCATGATTCTCAAATCAATTTCATAATTTCATAATTTCATAATTTATTTCATTATTTCTACGAACAATTTATTTAATCCCAATTAGGGCATTTTTCCCCTTTTTCTCAAACTTCAACCCTAAGGCTCAATTTCATCAATGATACACAAATAAACCCCATTTCAAGGCCTCACATACACAATGGAACCCAACATAGAAAACCCCTCTTTCAAACATTTCAAATTTCAAACCCTAACTTCCCAAAATTTCCCAATCTCACCATTTACACAAAATGACTAATATTTATGTTAAAACTCATAAAAATGAGTAGTTTATCCCTACCTCAAATAGAGAAGCTCAAAGGAGAAGGAGAAGGAAACTCAAGATGCTTCAAATCCACACTTTTTCGGATCAAAGTGAAGCCCACGCAATGCTCTAGCTTTCTTACAAAGAGGCTAGGGTAGAGAGACCCAAGAACAAGGTGTATTTGTAGAGAGAGAGAGAATTAGAAAGAGAGACAGCCGAATTTAGGGTTTGGAATGAGAAGAAGATGAAAAAGTGATGTGAAAACCCGCTGCTACGAACTGGTATATACAGGGCTTGCTCGAGCGAAGGAGTGGTCGCTCGAGCGACTAGACAAAAAAGGACCTCGCTCGAGCGTAACAAGCGTCGCTCGAGCGAACAATGCAAAGCTTCAGGTCTGCAACGCAGAAGCACTTTCGAGCGCAAGAGTTCTCGCTCAAGCGAAGGAACACCATAACACAAGGCTCACTCGAGCACAAGAGTTCTCACTCGAGCGGAGAATACCAACCTTCAGGTCTTACAGAAACGCAGACGCATGCTTGAGCGCAAGAATGCTCGCTCGAGCGAAAAGACACACCACGCGAGACTCGCTCGAGCGCAAAGAAGCTCGCTCAAGCTGAAGCTGCGTTTGAAAAGAAACCTGAGAACCCACAAAGCTCACTCGAGCGCAAGAATGCTCACTCGAGCAAAGAAGCAAACACCCAGGGCTCGCTTGAGCGCAAGAAGGCTCGCTCGAGCGAAGAGGGCAAAACCTGGGCAACAACCACTTATTTCAACTCAATACCAACCTGTTACAAACTCAACCAACACATCCCAAAACTCAAACACAACAAATTAAAGGAGGGAAAAAAGATATAGACAACACAATAACCACGGAACTCGAGTCCGGAATACAATAACTGAAGGGAAAAAATTGGGATCGCTATAAATTTTGCACATCGTATCAATTTAGCCCAATTGATAATATTTCATTTAGAAATTGGACTAAAATTAAGGGACAAAATGGTTTTTTAATTCCCTTCAAAGTAATTGAAGGATTCACATTGAATTTTAAATGATTCATTTCCTTTTTAATAGATCATTTTGCCTTTGATTTTTATTCAATTTTTTAACCGCTATTATCACTTGGACTAGATTGACACAATTTGAAAAATTAAACGCTAAAATTAATATTACAGATACCAAATTGACATGAGAGGCAAGTATGGAGACTATAGGTATAGTTTGCCCTATTTCTTTTGACTTAAAAATTAGCTAAACTAATATGAATTGGGCTGTAATTTTGCGAACTTTGACCAACTTATTTATACAGTAAACTACCAATTGGTCTTAATAATTAGGCTTAATTCCAATAAAGTACTATTGAAAATAAGTCTTAGTAAAATCGTCAGTAAATATAATTTTGTGACGATTTTTTGCATATATTGCTAAAAAGTGACAATTAGTGACTTTTTTTTGTCACGGGTTTTTATAAACTATCGCTAAAACTTATAATTAGTGACGTTTTTCTATGATGAATTTTTCAAACTGTCACTGAAAGTTGAAAATTAGTGACTTTTGTGACGATAAACTTATAATTAGTGACATTTTTTTTGACAAAATTTTCAATCTGTCGCTGAAAATTAACAATTCGTGACGTTTTTTAATAGTGTTTTGATAAAAAAATAAACAAGTCATTAATTCTCATAGGACCTAATGGACAATAAGTCCATCTATTAGGACCTACACGTCAGTCCCCTTATTTAAAAATATTAATATTGCATTTTGGATGGAAGAATTTAGGGGAAATTACAACAAAATAAACCCTGAGTTTTAATTTTGTCAATTTAAAATCTAAATTTTTTATTTGTTTTCAATCTGAATCATTTGCCTATTTTTGTTAAATAACATCAATAGAAAATGGGTATGTTACTCATTAAATTCAATGAAAATGGGTATTTCAGACATTTATGTATACTTATATTGAGTTTAATGACTAAAATATTATTTTTTCATGAATTTTAGTTAAGAAAAATAGACAAATGATTTTTATTGAAAACAAATTAAAAAAATTAAGGTTTAAACTGATAAAATCGAAAACTCAAAGTTTATAACATTGCAAGGGTCAAATGTTGGAGGTGTTTTTTTTTTTTTTTTGTAATTATCCCAAGAATTTAAAATAAAGGGTTTTGAGATTAAGGAACAACCATTAGTCCCTATAGTTTAAATGAAATGTCAGTTTAGTCACCTTAGTTTCAATTTAAACCCTATATTTTCAATTTGTTCCAATGTGGTCTCGTTATCATTCCCCGCTAGAATTTTGCATGGATAAATGCCACATGAAAAAATAAACTAACGTCATTTTGTAGCACACCCCCCAAAAAAATAATTTTGAAGCGAAATGCAAGACCAAAGCATAGAAGCACCAGAAAGAAGACCCACAAATGGGAGATCGAAAGAGAGAGGGAGAAAGAGAGAAGAAGAAGAAGAAGAAGAAGGGGCTTGATCTATACTACCCCTCCACTGTTCGACCACCCTACTACCCCTCACTAACACCAACGCTGGCGAGATCGAGATAGAGATAGAGAGAGCTTGTGGCAGCAATGGCTACTGGGAAAGGGCGTGTGAGGGTAGGGATGGGCTATAGAGGCTCATTGGAATTGAGATGGGGAAAGGATTAGTAGGGGTGGGACTACGATAGGAAGGTGAGGTGGATTTTGCAAGTAGGGGGTCACGAGATATGTTATTGAAGACAGATTTTGGAAAAGGAAAGGGAGGGGAGGTCGCCAGAGGTGGTCATGGTGGTTAATTGTGAGAAGAGAAGGTGAATAAGTGCTTTGTTTGCACTATAGGTCTTTCTCTCTGGCTTTTTCTTCTCTTTTGGGTTTCATTTCATTTCATTTCATTTTTTTTTTTTTTTGTGCGTGCACCAAAACGATGCCATTTTGGTGCACCACACAAAAACTACAAGGATTGTTTGAGTAGCGGTTCCATAGAGATTTTTATAAGGTTTTTGTTTTACTTAGAATTCTTGGGAAGAAATTTTGAAATGATTAGTTTTACAGTGTTATTTTGTAGTGTTAATTTCCTAAAAGTCCTATGGATAAAGTTGATATTCCATTAAGTCCTCCTTCTCTTTTTTTAGGATGATTCTATTTACACCCCACAAATCCTTTCACTACACATCACTTACTCAGTTCACATCACACACAAATTAAAGCTTTTAATTTTGTCTCAATACACACTACTAATTTTTAAATAATACCAACTTACTCTTATTTTCTCCAACCCTAACTCTAACCCTAACCCTAACCTAAACCCTTGCCCATCGATGGTCGTTAGACACCAACCTCCACCCCTCTCCCATC